GGAGGTTGTACTAATTTACATTCCCACCAACCATGTATAAGCATTCTCTTTTTTCCACATCCTCACCAACTTGTGTTATTTTTTGTCTTTTTAATGGTAGCCATTCTGACTGGTGTAGGATGATATCTCATTGTGGTTTTAATTTGCATTTCTCTGATGATTAGTGATATTGAGAATTTTCCATACACTTGTTGGCCATTTGTATGTCTTCTTTTGAAAAATGTCTATTCATGTCCTTTGCCCGCTTTTTAATGGGGTTATTTGTTTTGTTGTGTGGTGGTTGAATTCCTTGTAAATTGTGGATATTAGTCTTCTGTCAAATGGATAGTTTGCAAATATTTTCTCCCATTCTGCAAGTTGTCTTTTCACTCTGTTGATTATTTCCTTTGCTGTACAGAAACTGTGCTCGCTTCAGCAGCACATATCCTAAAATTGGAAGGATACAGAGGAGATTAGCATGGCCTTGTGCATTCTGACACTTAAAGAATTCCGGTGGCTTGCAAATGCTTCGGGGAGATCAAATTAACTTGATTGGTTTCCTTTACTGAACATACCTTATGTCCACTTTGGCCTTTGTCCACTCTCCAGGTAGCTCCTAAACCAGGCTCCAGGGCTTGTCCCAACACTTGAAAATAGCTTCTTTTCTTCTTCTCCTTCTCCTTCTCCTCCTCCTCCTCCTCCTCGTCCTCCTCTTCCTCCTCCTCCTCCTCTTTCTCCTTCTCCTTCTCCTTCTCCCTCTTCTTCTTCTTCTTTTTGTATGCTTTCTCCTACAGCTTCAGCCTATATTTTCTGGTCTGGGTTCATCAGTTATAAAGTCCTTGCTTGTTTGAACATGTTCTGACCTCCCTAGCTTTCATTTTGACCATGAGTGATGCAATCCCTTCACTCAAAGATTCTAGCTCACCCTTATTTGCACACTCACTATACACAACATTTCCTTTAGTCCCTAGGGAAAAAAAACAAGGACGGTGCAATAATTATCTCCAAATAACAGATAAGGCGCAGAAAGGTTAAGGACAGTCTCTTAGGTGACACAGCTAGTAGATTGGAAGCAATGGAATTTGAGCCTGGGTTGATCTGACCCTAAAAGATGTGCTTTTAACCAGTGCATGTACCGCCTCCCTTAAGTCAGCAAGCTTTAGCTTTCCTACAAGCCTGTGATTCTACAAAGGCAAGCCACAATAGCCACTTTTTGGCATGTGTTGCATGGCGGCTTCATGTTAGAGGGTGGAGCTGAGTTCTCACATGCTGGAATAGGAGTGCAGTGGCACAATCACAGCTCACCCCAGCCTCAACCTCCTGGGCTCAGGCGATCCTTCTGCTTCAACCTCCTAACTAGCTAGGACTACAAGCGTGCACCACCATGCATTGTTATTTATTATAATAATAACAGTAATAACAACTATTATAGTATATGTAGTTAATACACTACTGGGGAGATAAATATTATTATTATTATTATTAGCAGTATTAGTAGTAGTAGTAGTAGTAGTAGTAGTCGTAGAGAAAAGGTCTAACTACATTGCCTAGGCTGGTCTTGAACTCCTGGACTCAAGCAATCCTTCCATCTTGGTCTCCTAAAACGCTAGGATTACAGGCCTGAACCACCATGCCTGGCAATAGGATTGCATTTTCTTACAAGTTTAACCATGGGAGGGATTTTGAGTGGGAAAAAGAATACTTCCTGTTTATAATTCAAGCTGAAAAGAGATTCCCACATTATGAAGCTCAGTTTTTCCTGTATAATGTCATTATGAAGCCCTTAGGTTGAATTACCAGCTATTGGGCATTTTTGTTCAATACCTTCATGCTCCAAATCACTTAGAGATACAGACTTGCAAGTCCTATTTTGACCCAAACCACTAATATACAAGAGGGTAAATATCTTTTATTTTACTTTCCTGAGTAGACCTCTCTGATTTTTCTATTAATGTTGCCCATCCTGAGTGTTGCCTTTTTGAAATCAGATTTGTCCAAACGAGGCATCTGAGAGAAGGTACATGGTAACTAGGAAACAATTTCTATCTCTGCTTCCTTCTGGTGGCTTCCAATCCTGGTTATCCAGCTGCCTTGCCTTCATGCTTTGGGGAGCTGTAATCAGAATGTGCTCATGGCCCAGTAACAGAGTTGGGCATTTTTAAGTCCCTTGGTATCCACAAGGAAGGTCATTTCAGATGTCAGGTAACTGTCCTTTATTTCTTCACTGTCTGGTAGAAATTTAATGGTTGCAAGAGTGTTTGTTTATTTTTAAGTTTTTAGTTTTATTCTGTTTTACTTTATTTTCAGCAGTGGAAAATAAGCCTGAAAACCTGGAAAGGGAACAGCCAAACCAATAGTAATTGCTCTGGTATTGTGGAGTATTCTCAGTCATAAATGTCTAGATGGTGTGTCTTTTCCAGTTCTAATCCAATCCATTTCAATGAATATTTGTTGAATGCCTGTGGTGAAGCAGATAAAGAGTGAGTAAGACATTTCTTTCACCCTCCAGGAGTTCACACTCCAATGAGAAATTGACTTGTACACTGTTAATTCTCATACAAAGAAGACAATAATGAAGGTCTATACAAAAGATTAAACAAGGTATTATGGGAGTATTGGAGGAGTAAAAATTATTTCTAATTAGGGAATCTGGAAAGATGCTGTCTGAAAGAAGAAGATTTTGGGACCTTGGTCTTAAAGGGTTGATTAGACTATTCCAGGAATACCTGGAGGTGAAAAGGAAGTTGAGACTGAAGAACCATACAATCTACAGGTATGTAAGCCCAAGGAATAAATGACAATCCTTCTACAGGATGGAGAGCACTATGAAATACAACTAAAGAGGTGAATCTATCCCAATTGACGAAAAACCTTGACTACTAGGCTAAGAGTTTGAACTTACTCTGTAGATGAAGAGGACTCTAACACCCACCACCCAAAATTATAGGGGTCTCTTCCCTACCATCATAGCCGTCAGTTCTTTCTCGGTGGTCCTTTTGTACAGACTAAATTCCCTCCAGTTACATTTCTATTCATTTATGAACATTCTCTATGAGAAACACTTGACTTGAAAAAATATGCCACATGAGGTGGATTTAAATGTCTCTGATATATGAATAATGCATTTAATGTATTATCTCCCCAGTAGTGCATGTAGTTACATATACTTTGTATAATAATTGACTAAGATCATGGTCAGTGTCGATATAAGCCAAGAGCTATATGTTCATGATCTGGGTGGTATTGCATTGGGAATTTATCCTACTCTGTTATATGTTCCACTCACTTTGAGCTTACACCAAACCAGTTCTAGTTCCTCCATCAGGTTTCTCTTTACTGGCTCTATTTATGGTCTTTCTCTGGTATTCCTATAAGAATGTCAGATTAAATTATACCAGATGCTTCCCTCTCTAAGATATGTTAACTTTGCTCCATCGTCTTTCACCATTCAGCTTGTCATCCTATCATGAACAGGAATTAGCTTCGTTTGGCATGATTTGTGTGTGAAGAATCTGTATTGACTACTGTTTATAATTCAGGTTTCCCCTAGATTCTCATAAATGACTGCCTTAATAATTGTCCTCACAGCTTACCAGATATTGAAATTAAATTTATGAGCTTAATTCCCTGAGTTCCCTGGGGATTTTTTTAAAAAGAAAAATGGAAAAAGGCAGCTTCATGACTCACAGGAACTCTTCCATAATAGCCAGCATGATAAAGAAAAAGACTTTTTTTTTTTTCAGGGAAGCAATTTTCGATTTTAGCCTTTCAAATGATTATTACAAAAATTTGAAAAATAATAAAATTTTTGAAATACTAAAAGACATCCTGTACCTTTTAAAACTATTTATTTATTGCACTCACACATACTTTTAAGTGCTATAACAGATGCCAAGAAATTGTTAATCCACAGTTTATAGTCCTTACTTCATGCTGGCAACTCAAAATTTGTCTTTTTATATTCGAATTGTTGCACACTTGAAAAATAGCCCAATAATGGCACTTTTAAAAAGGTTATTTCATAAGTACTGCTAGTCTGACATACGCTAAAGTATTGTTTCAGGTTGCCTCAGCAACCTGCCTGCCACAATTGTGGTTAACTCTACAATTTACTGATAATGCACTGACCTGAGACTTGAATCTTCCTTTTCCGAATGTAATGCAGGTGCACTGTAGGTAGGTTGTGGGTGGACCATAGCCACCTCCAAATCTTTGCAAATGACTGGCAAGAGATTGATAGCAAATAGTAACATGTTTAAAAATGGATGGATGCATAGAACATTGAACAACACCAAGAGCTTTAGTGCGGGTTAGGTTTCTGTAGTCGTCCAGTCAAGACTCTGCCTGTTGCTGAGGTTAAGAATGTGTGGAGCAACCAGTTTACGTCAGTCTTAGTAGAGAAGTCATTGATTTTCTCTGACTGAAGCAGTTTGGACCCAGTGAACAACGTGCTGATATTATAATCCTGATTCTTGATGTTTTATTGGAACGTGGGTGGACTGATACTAGCCCATTTGCAGGGGCTAGGTCTATAGGCAAATGTTGCTTAAGAGCTTTTTTGTTGTGTAATCTTTTTCAGTAGGTATGATGGATGTTCTAGAAGCTGTGTCACGATGCCTTTTGTGCTGTGCATTCATCGCTAAAATACCCGGGTTTTTGACTTTTTTATGTGAATGTTTTTATTCCAAAGACTGCCATCCAGGGTCATGCAGCAACCAAGCGATGAACAAATATGTCACAATGCAATCCCCGTCTGGGATGGTATTTAGAATGAGAGAACATGCATTAGTTACCTACCAACTTGACAAGAATGGATTCCGAACCTAACACACCACAGCCTCTCTTCTCACCAGTGTGTTTCTGGAAAGGCAAGCCAATGGTGATCTCCTTAGCGTTTGTTAGTGGGAGTAAGTCTTGGGTTTCAGGATAAAGTATTTGGATGGCATTTTAAGAAGCCATTTCTTTTTTGATAAAGTAGAAAAAAATCTCCATCTGAGTCTATGGTACAGTCTGTTCTCTGGATGAACACAAAGGCGCGCTCTCTCACATTTTTCTGATATTTATTCTGCAAATCAGCTGCATGAGCCCCTGCCACTCTTCTGAATAAGCTTCCAGGCATTACCTGCATGCTGTGTTCCTGTGGAGGGATGGCAGTAATCTCTGCTAAGATAAACGGGAGCTTCTGTGGATAAAGCGTAAACGCAGTGAAGTGTGTGTGGCTGTAAGATTTAATACCTCTACAGGTAATTTTTTTGGAGGGGGATCTGGCATTTAATCAAATCCAGAGTCATTATGTAAATTTAATCACCTTGCAACACACTAGTAATTTTATTATCTCCTTTTCATTTGACAGTGCTTAGATACAATTTGAGCTTGGAATTCCAGAGGTAGGGCACTGCTGATTGGAAGCGTATTAAGGAAAATGTACTGTGGAAATGAGATAAAACCGTTATTCTTGCTATTGATTGTCATTCTCGTATGCGTACAGGTGTCCAACAAAGGGTTTTAGAATACAGTCTGCCTGTTTAAAGTTTTCCACCTTTCTTAAACCCAGCAATGAATTACAAACACCCTGTATGAACTGGACTGTATTAAATCTACTCCTGTCAAATGGAAACCTTTACACAGAGTGAGATATGATTCAAACTGTCTTTGACACAGGGGCCTTTACACTTGTGTAGCCTGTTTTGGCTTGGCCTCTGGTCAATGTAATACTGTCTTAGGTTGGATTATTTATACCATTAAGGTTTACTTATGATTAAATACAGTATTTCCATTCATCAGCACCAGTTCTGATAGGTGTTTAAAAAGTGCAATGGGGTTGATCATCCTGAATAGACAAATTACCCATTAACACACGACTGAGGAAGAAAGAACCCGGTCAACTTGGATTTCCCAAAAGGCACAAGGACTATTTGACCCTGTGATCCACACTCCTGATTATATCTTAATAAGAATAATAAAGCTAAATACTGTATCTGTGATCTTAAGAGTAAAATTACAAAGAAGCAAGAGGGGAGACATGTTACTGTGTTAAACTGACCTTACTAGGGCAGAAGAAATGGTATTTTTAGTGTCTTTTCTTTATTCCACTTTTCTGTTTTACTTTCTCCACTTTTTATTATTGTTTTTAATTTGGAAGAACTTGTGAGAATATATCTTCCCCTGAAGACAAAGACTCCATATGCTCCCCTATCCCTATGTTGGCCCCTGGTCAACCAGGAAGTATGATGTCACTCCTTTTGTTTCTTGTATGCATGGAAGTCAAGACTCAAGCAAATGCCACTAATTCAAGTTCAACACAGATGACCAGGTTTCCCCTATCTAGAGTACTACTTATTGCAGAGAAAACTTTGCTTCTTTCCAAAAGCCCATAATAACTCTTTGACTCATAACATGGCTTCATAATGGGAGGTGAAAATGGTGTAATCTGGGATTAAGATTGAAGATTACTATCCATTTTCCCATTGAGCTGATTATCTGTTCTCTGTTTATCACTGGTGCCTCAGTTTTCTTATCCTAAAATGGAGATAGTGAATACTACCTATCTTCAAAAGTTTGTACAGGATTCAGTGAGACATTGGATGTGAAAGTATCTAGCACTAAGTTTGGCACAGAGCATATGCTCAGTGAAGGCAAGTTGAATCTGAATGATCTTCTGAGGATTAAAAGATTATAATCCAGGGTCCGTATGCAACCATAACAATGGGGCCACTATGCACAATCGCAGTGAGGGTCTGAGTCAAATGAAAATATTTGGGCTTTAGCTTAGGTGTCCCCGTTTGCGGGTTTCAGTTGATAAAATAATCCCTCCTTTGTGACAGCATCGTGCAAAAACAGGATCATATATGTACACATGCAAATATGTGGTTTGTGGTAAAAGAGTATATCAAAGAATCGCACCGTGAAGAAAGAGAAATACTGAGATTGCTGTTAGGGAAAACTCTAATTTGGCTAAAACATGTTGTGTGACTTTAGGAAATGGGCTTCCTCGCTCAAAATCTCCCCCCACCGTCTATTCATCCATCCAACTATCCACCTACTCATGCATTCAAGAAGCGCTTATGAAATATTCACTTCACCATGCTGAGTACTGGTGATAGCAAGATGGATATGATACTTTACCTCTTCTTAAAGAGCTTACACTCTAGTTGAGGAGAGAGACAAGCAAACAGATAGTTATGAAACATTGCCAATCTATCTGTGCTGCTATGACAAAATATTGTAGACTGGGTAATTTATAAATAATAGAAATGTATTGCTAACAGTTTATTGAGGCTGGGAAGTCCAAGGATGAAGGTGTCAATATATTTGGTGTCTAGTGAGGGCCCTCTACTTCATAGGTGACCCTTACTTGCTGTGTTCTCACGTGGTGGAAGGGGCAAGAGACTAACAAACTCTCAAGCTTTTTAAAATAAAAGCAGTAATCTCATGGGTGAAGGTTAGACCCTCAGGACCTCATCACCTCCTGAAGCCTCAACATTTTAATATTATTGCTTTGGGGATTAAGTTTTAACATATAAATTATGGGAAGACACAAACATTCAGATCATAGCAAACGTTATTTTAAAATGTGACAAAAGTATGCATAGGGTATTATGAAAAGAAAAAGAAGGTCCCTTTTCTAGCCTGTAGTGGGAGTAAGTGGTCAGAAAAGATTTCAGGAACAGGTGGTGCTTGGGTTGTCTTAAAGGGTAAAAGGGTGTTTATATGGTGACGTAAGTTGGAAAAAAAGGGTGTCTAGGCTGGGAGCAAAACTTGGGTTCTGATGCTCTGCAATTCCTGTACTGTCCCATACTGATTAGAACTGACAGGCATACATGAATGTAGGCTCAGCTCTTCTTTGCAACCTACCAGATGAGTTCAGAACACATCTGTAAAGAGCTAGAAAGTAAATATTTCAGGCATTGAGGGCCATAAGATCTCTGTTGCGACTACTCAGCTATGTAGTACTATCTCATTGTGGTCACCATCATGCATTTTCCTAAGAGCTAATGATGTTGAAAATATTTTTTGTCCTTATTTGCTATCCATACATCTTCTTTGTTGAAATATCTATTCATATATTTCCTCCATTTTCTAATTTGATTTTCTTCTTATTGTTGAGTTTTGAGAGTTTAGAAAATTATATTCTAGATACAAGTCCTTTGTCAGATATGTGGTTTGAAAATATTTTCTTCCAGTCTGTAGCTTATTTTTTCATTCTATTAACAGTGTCATTCACAGAGAAAAACCTTTTTAATTTTGATAAGTTTATTTTACCAATGTCGTTTTTATAAACCATGCTTTGAGTGAACTCTTCAACTATGAATATTTTCTTCTATATTTATACCTGTAAGGTTTTTTTAATCAATTTTTGTATTATGATTTTGTGGGGTACAGTTAAGGGTTAGGTGTACAATTATGTTTCATTCAGGCA